CTGACAATGTGAGGTCTGTCACTGTCCCTGCCATTGTTGCCAGTGACTTCCACAGTCTTATTGCCACACATAATTCATTCCAAGTGAGTGAAATGATGAAGAATTCGAGTCATTCAGTAAAATGAAAAACATGACTGATCATGTGGTTAGAGGGTTGAAAATATGAAAAAATACACCTTGTACAATGAAGCAAACAAAGTTCATGGAGGAGAGATCAGCTGGAGAGCCAGAGCTGGCTGAAGGTGAGCTTCTGGAGGCACTGGAGCAGCTGAGTGCGTGTCCCTGTCCTTCCACCCCCTCATGCTTCTGTGGGTCACTGGGGTGTCTGCTGTAACTGGTCTGCTCTCCTCTGCTCCTTCCCTGTTCTTCACCTGTCCTCTTATTGCTGGCCTCTGGTGGGCCTTCTCTACCATCTCTCTCGATTTCCTAATATTCTGTTCTTTCTCCAGCCCCGGGCAGGAACTCTGAAGGCAAGAGGAGGACAGGGGTGCTTATCTCAGTCTTTCACCTTCCAGCTACTTCAGGGATTCATCAAAACCTACTGGACCAGATGTTGCCGTGAGGACTTTCCTTTGCCAGATTCACCCTCCTGGGTCTGGGTTGTGGCATCTAACAGCATGTGTGCCAGATTATCTAAAATCCTGGGCACCTGGTGGTGATCTACAGGTGAAAAGGAATTTGTCCTCCTCTTTAATCCTTCTTGCTTTTCTATGTTATAGGGAAAAACAGGTTCTCTGCATACTGTTTTACCATACTAGTTAAGATATCTGGTTATGAGAAGTTTATAGAATGATCCAGAGGTGGCTCATGGAACCCAAAGCCCCAGTGCAGCTGGGATCTCGGCAAGTACTGAACCTAGGACCCAAAACACTGCTGGGGCTGTTTCCACGGCTCTTCATGCAGCTGCCTCATCTTTATCTCAAAAGAAATCCTTTCTCTGTCTTCTGGTCCATTCAGAAGATAGAAGACTAGAAGACAGCCATCTAGAGTCCTGGTGTGTGTACGTTAATAGGTCAGCCATATGCAGAAATGGTCCCTACTAGTTTCCATGTCAAAGTTCCCAGGGGAGAGACACTTGGTGGCCCAATTTGGACCAAGTAACCATCCCTGGTTTAAAGAGCTATAACAAGTAGATAGGATTGCACAGTATGGACCCAGCTGGTGGGCTCCTTGGCTTGTATGAGGAAAGGGAGAAGTCATTGGTTCAGTGGCTGGGTAGATACCTTTAAAAGGCATCTACTGCATTAGCCTCTTATGTATTCATTTGACATATTCTTTCAGACTGTGTACTGTGTGCTAGGCATGATCCAGGGCACTCCATCCAGGGATAGAGCTGTGAACAAGATGAAGTCCCTGCCCTCATGCCCTTGACTTTCCATTGCCTTGTCTGCATTTTCACTTTGCAGAGTGGGGGCAAATTTAATGCTTGTCTCTTTGCTTACTCTTGTTCTCTTAGTTCTTTCCCTTTCCTTTAGTTTCTTTCTCAACTAATAGATGTTTATTGAACTCCCACTCTGCTGACACGGCGCCTGTTTACATGGGGGAGGTGTAAGCATATACTCATTTTGTATGGTGGTATTTGCAAAATGCATTAACTCAGAATTATCTCATGAGTCTGAATTTGAAACCTTAGTCATCATGTGCTTTGCTCTAGATGGTATAATGTTTCCTTACGCAATATGTTTTCCACAATTTTTTTGAAAATATTAATGTTTTTCTTTATAGGGTTAGGTTGAGATGAGGCCACTGAGGTAGAAATAATTTATCTGAATCTTAGGAGCAGGAGCAGGGTGGTATAACTATTTCTACCTAGAAAAAAGTCCCAGGTCTTTCCTGTTGTGGTATAGAAAGCTGTGTTGGCCTGAGGCATGCTAGATAGGAAAAGTGGGAGATATTATTTCACTTCATTCTGTGATCACTATTTAACTTGTGTCAATAATTTTCTTCACTCCAGTATTTGTTATCCAACATCTAAATTCTTATTTGGAAAAATTATCGTTTCTGTTCTTAATTCTATCAGTGATTTTTTTTTTTGTCCCATTCTTCTTCAAACATCAGTGATCTCACATTTCTTCCTTTTCTGGTGCACACATTTAACCGTCGCCTCTCCAGAAGTCTTGCAGAGTTTTCTTTTTTGTTATTGTTTTTTGTAGATATGAGGTCTTGCGATGTTGCCCAGGGTGGACTTGAACTTCTGGGCTCAAGCTGTCCTCCCACCTTGGCCTCCCAAAGTATTGGGATTACAGGCACGAGCCACCATGCCCAGCTCAGAGTTTTCTTTTGAGATGTTTCTTATGTCTGTCCATTTATCCCGTCTTCCATTTAATTCATGCTTTTATCATCTTGCTTCTAGATTATAGAATCAATTTCCTACCTGGTCCCCTTATCTAAAAATTCTCCTCTCCTGCTGTTTCCCCTTGGCCATCACTGCCAGATGCTCTTCTCTCCTGATCAGAAACCTGTGGCCTCCTGTGACCTTCAGGATGAAGTTCAAGCTTCTTTGCTTGGCGTTGGTCATCCACAGTCTGGCCACAGGCTATTTTTTTTGCGAACTTCTTTTTTACTTTTTCCCAGTTTGGACCCTTAGGGTTGATTTGTTTTCCTAGTTGGCCCTGATACAATTTTGTCTGCTTGGGCCTTTGCTTAAGCTCTTCTTTCCCTTGCCCACAATGTCCTTCCCTTTCCTAATTCATACCTCACTCACACTGCCGGGCTCTTCTGTCTGTCCTCAGAATCTATTCCAACCCTGCCCTGCCTAGCGCAAAGAGGCTGCTGACCTCTGAGCTTCTATAGCACCTTTGGGCTCACTCTTAGTCACACCCTGATAAGTAACTATGGTTAAGTCTTCATGCTTTAAACGGGGAACATTTTCAAGAGCAGGAACCTGATCTTCTGTTTTTGTGTTCTCTGTGGCATCTAACAAGTGATCCTGACTGGGTGCTCATCAGTATCACTTAGTGAGCTTCAAAAACAAAACAGTGACCACAGACTCTGGGAGGGCAGGGCCCAGGAACTAATACATTGTGAGAGCTGCATTCGTAATACTAATGCAGGGGAACTGAGAACTGCTAGGTGAGCAATGAACCACTTTGACCACGCACTGTTCAGTGAACCCAGCCTGTCCCTACTTTCCTGGAGCTTGGGCTCCTGGGTGCAGGGAGTCAGAGCATCCATAAAGAAAATCAGGTAATGATGATATCTGATCCTGTGGAGGAAGACAAGGAAGGGTAAGTGGGCAGAGAGAAAAGCAGTACTTCCATATAGGCTAGCTTCAAAAATATTCTCCATCTGTCTTACATCAGCAAATGCTCCAACACCTGGCCTGCCCTGATTGAAGTCTGGGAGCCCCAGCTGGTGGGCCAGACAGTCTGGAAGAAGGGATTCCTGCTCTCTGCTGCCGCTTGTTGATGAGTATAGGACCAAGCAGTGTCCCATGGAGCCAGAAAGACCCCGGAGAGTGGGAGGCTGCAGGGAAGGAGGTGAGGGATTGTGTCTGCAGTGAGGAATAGCCAGGGCACTGTGGGCACATACAAAAAGCAAGAGGAAAACTGGAGTGTGCCCGGCCTGTGACCAGGGACCCAGCTCGAGCCTGGAGTGTGTACCCACCAGGTGTCCCCATCTGGGTGAAGGGAGAAGCCTTAGCCCACTTCACACTTAACTCTTAACATTCAGAATAATATGTCAGCTTTCAGTAAACAAGTTTACATCTTTCTTGTCGCTTTCTTAGGATAAGGATCATTGTCCTTCTAGTCACTTTGAAAAGATGATGTAGCCAAAATTTTCTCTTTCAAAGTGTTTCTATATGACAGTGAAAAGTATTCTTTGTAACAGGGAAGTGAAGGTTTACTTGTGCAAGAAGTCAGTTTTTTAAAGATGTGCAACGTCCGTTTCTTTGATAGTTGGAAAGTATGGTAGGTATTGGAGAGCGAATGTATATTCAAGAAAAACAAGATAAGGCTTCATCTGTAGGGTATTAATTTTTCTGTGATCCTTTGCCTCAGACGCCTCTCTTCTGGTCACTTCTCAAGCTGGGCAGCTTCTTCTAATGAGGGAAGCTGCCTTGGAGTTGGAGACGAGGTTAAAATCTACACGTGTGTACCAGTTTCAGTAATAACTGGATCCTTCTCTAGGTCTAGGCTGGAACGTCTCAAGTGAAGGTTACTGGGGGGGCCGGGATTTGGGCCCACCCATAAAGCCTTGACCCATAGTGCTGAAATCAAATCTTAAGGAGCTAGGCTGGCTTGCGACGTAATCACAGAAACAGTAATTTAAACAACAAAATGGGTTGGGACAGCTACTGCACTCAGGTCTCCAGGCTCATGTCGGGAGAAGAGCAGCGGATCCCTTGCAATCAATGGTGGGAGCACGCCCTCCACCCTGGGGTCTGGGAAGCCCATTTTTAGCGCGCAGAGGTTTGATTTCGCCATCTCCTTCTGCGGTGGCTGCTTGCAGGGCGCATCCCCATTGCTGCTGTCTCTGCTTCTAAGGAAGATCAAAGGAGCCCAGAAAACCTAGTTCCGGAGCTCAGTCCACAAGACTAGAGGGACGCTCGGTCAGATGGCTGGGTAGGGGCCGCTGGCCTTGGCGCCCCCGGCCCCACTGTCCCGCTGGCAGCCAGGAGCGGCGCGCCCCAGCCGTCCGCCCTTCCCAGCCCCGCATCAGCTTGGGCGTCTGGCCGGGCACAGGCGGGGCGGGGAGGGAGCGCCGGAGCGGGGGCCGGCCGTCCTGGGTGGGGCTTGCTCCGCCAGCGCCAGGGGCCGCGCGGGGCGGGGCCGGGGGCGGGGCCGGGCGCGGGGCGGGGGCGGGGCCGGGGGCGGGGCGGGCCGGGGCTGCTGCGGCGGCGGCGTCTCCAGAGGGAGCCAAGGTACATAGGCGGCGCCCGCCTCGCCCGAGCATCCTTCCCCGCAGATGCCTGCCCGCCCGCGGCCCCCGCTCGCTGCCTCCCGCCTGGCGGTTGACTTCTTTGTGTCGTGTTCTCTGCCTGCGCCCTGTCTCTGCAGGACCCGTTCATTCTTCTTTGGGCTATAAGAAGGCAGAGGATGAGATGTCCCGGGCCACGTCTGTTGGAGACCAGCTGGAGGCACCCGCCCGCACCATTTACCTCAACCAACCGCATCTCAACAAATTCCGCGACAACCACATCAGGTAGGAGAAGGCGGCCGGGACGCGCGGAAGGCGGTGGAGTCGCGGCTGGGAAGGGGCTTGGCCACGCACCTGGCCGGCCCCCATCCAGCTCCCCCAGCGCCTTCCCTGTCCCCTCCCCACCTCACCAGCCCGCGGTCCAGCCCTGCGCTTCCAATGGGGTCATGCGAATGCAGCCCTCCCTGTCCCCTCCTGCGCATCGGTTCCGCGCCCAACCTGCCGTGAGCCCTGAGGAAGTTTTCACTCTAATGTCACCGACAAAAATGAGATCTCTGCTCTTCTCATCCCTGGGCTTCCTTCCCGGAAACCCCCCTCTAGCCTTGTTTTAAGCCAGTTGATAACCCTCTTTAGCAATTTGCAGAAGGCACTGTGAGGGACTTGCTTTATAAGGGAGTCCCACAAGTCCCAAAGACTCACATTCAGTTTTCAATAGTCCACAATTGTTAAGAGATCTTCATTTACTGGGAAACTTTGCCCAGAGTTAGCAGAAAGATGGACAGAAGCTAGCATTTAAATGTCTGCTTTTACTGGCCGCTATGTCACACACCCTGGCTATAGCAGCTTAGTGAAGCTTCACAACCTCTTGAAGCAGGCCAGGAGACTGGAATATAAAGATGCTAAATAATGTACCTATAGTCATACAGCTACCAGGTGGCAGAGCTGGAAATTGAACCCAGCCTATCTGACTACTAAGGGTAAATTTTTTCTGCTGTGCAAAGCTAGTTCTTTAGCACGGGTGTTCGTACATTTTCAAATTTCATTAAACATTCAGGCTTAACTTTGTTTCTGAGAGTGACTTCAGAGGATGTAGTTCTGTGAGCTGCTCAGAACACCATGCTTGGGTGTAGAGAAATTCAGTGATTGATCAGGTTACACGTAGATTATTGACAACCTTGAGTTTCAATCCAGGGTTCTTTTTTGAAACGCAAAAACTTCGTTGTTATTTGTTTAAGTATGACACTACTGCGTTAACATTTGTACAGACAACAGCCTGACATCTTTATTTAGAAGGGTCAGGCTGTTGGACATTATTGGGGTAGAATAAGGGTGCATATTATATGGAGGTGGAATCTTCACTTATCAAATGAGTGTTAGATTATGCAGCTTTATTTGGGGTTTTAAGAATGACAGTTGGGCATATTTTATACTTGAGAGTGTAAATTAGAAGAATAGCTGAGTCCACATTTCAGAATGTGTGGGCTTCATTCAAGATACAGAGCATAAGCCACAGTGAGTTACCACTTCACAAACTACAGTGGCTCCAATAAAAAAGACAGATAACAAGTATTGGTAATGATGTAGAGAACTTGGTATCTTCATGCATTGCTGATGGAGATGACAAATGATGAAGCCGCTTTGGAAAACAGTTGGTAACTCTTCAAATTTTTCAATGTAAAGTTACCATATGACGTAGCCATTCTACTTCTAGGTTTATCTACCCAAGAGAAATGAAAACCTATGTCCACACAAAAACCTGTACACATATATTCACAGCAGCATTATTGGGAATAGCCCCAAAGTAGAAATAATCCAAATATCTATCAGCTGATGAATGAATAAATAAAATGGAGTATATCCTTACAATGGAATATTATTGGGCCATTGAAAGGAAATGAAATATTGACACACTCTGCAACTTGGATGAAGCTTTGAAAGCATTATGCTAAGTGGAAGGAGCCAGTCACAAAAGGCCTCATAGTATATGATTCCATTTATATGAAGTATGCAGAAGAGGCAAATTTATAGAGTCATAAGGTAGATTAGTGGTTCCTGGGGCTGGGGAAGAGGGAAGAGGTTGAGGGGAAAGGGGGAATGACTGTGAGTGTGCATGGGGTTTCATTTTGGAGTGATGGTTGCACAACTCTGTGAATGTATCTAAACCATTTGGAATCCTGAACTGCTCATGTACTTCCATTTCTTCACACCTTCTCATATGTGTTTCTATTGAATTGCTTTCAAAAAGACGATTTTCTAAAAGATATATACTGTGTAAGGATATGGGAATTGAAGAGCTACTTTTCTTTTTAAACTTTAGTGTGTTTTCAAGTAGTATTTTTGCCTAATTCCTACTACTTCCTTTAATTTTGTTATCCATTTGTGCATGCTTAAGGCTGGGGGAATAAAATAGAGACCTTTGTTTTTGTCTAAATGTTCTCATTTTCATGGAAGGTAAAGTTTGTTTGTTTGTTTTTGAGGCGGAGTCTTGCTCTGTCCCCCAGGCTGGAGTGCAGTGGTGTGATCTTGGCTCACTGCAACCTCCACCTCCTGGTTCCAGTGATTCTCCTGCCTCAGCCTCCCTAGTAGCTGGGATTACAGGCACCTGCCACCATGCCTGGCTAATTTTTGTATTTTTGGAAGAGATGAGGTTTCGCCATGTTGGTCAGGCTGGTCTCAAACTCCTGACTTCAGGTGATCCACCCGCTTTGGCCTCCCAAAGTGCCAGGATTACAGGCATGAGCCAGGCTGGAAGGTAAAGATTTTTAAGAACACTGGTAATGGAGGTTCACTATGTGTTCTGTAATCAAGAATGAAAGCAGACCCAGACTGATTGTATTATTAGTCAGTGGGATTCCGGGTGGCTACCTGCTGTGCAGTTTCATTTGTACTGTTTTGGGAGAGGCAGAATAAGTTGGGGATGTACAGTGGGTTGGTTAGGAATAAAGTAGGCAGGTACCGACTTTCTATTTAAAGCTTTATATAAGTATATAATTGAATTATTTGAAATATATTAAAATTCATATAGTTCCTGAGTTCATGGCTCATTTGAATGCCCTGGATAGGGTCTAAGAAATTAAAATGTGGTCCTTGATGTTATTTAAAATGGCCTTTGAGTATTTGGTTCTGTTGAGAGGGGAGCTGACACATGGCTTGCTTATCTGGCACAGGACGGGAGTTAATGGAAGACCATGTTCCATGCTCAAAGCAGGGAAGACCTCTTTGTAGCACCAGAATTGCTCAAAGCAAAGAAGACCTCTTTGTAGCAACAGAATGTGGCCAGACTTGCTTGCTCTAGCTGCAGCTTTTCCCTCTGACTCAGTGTGTCTAAAGTAAAGCATGCTCTATACTTCCCAAGGAAATGCCAAACCGCCACAGCTATAGACTCATCTGCCTGATGCTTTGCTTCCTTTTCACCCCCTACATCCCTCAGCACATCCTTCTTTGTTAAACACTCAATAAATAGTGCGGGTGTCCAGTGCTCGGAGCCTTCGCATCCTCTTATTGCATCGGCCCCCTTGGAGCCCACCTTTATGCACTCTTGCTTTTGTCTCTTAATGGCTTTGGATCCACCAACTCTTTTTACTTCCTAGGTTGTGTCAGGGCTGGTTCCCCAACATGGTTCACCTTGCCTGTGTGTTTAAATAGGAATTACTAATGGTTATCAGTGACTCGTGGTTCATTAAAAAATTGATTATAGGCCAGGTGCGGTGGCTCACACCTGTAATCCCAGCACTTTGGGAGGCCAAGGTGGGCGGCTCACTTGAGGCCAGGAGTTTCAGACCAGCCTGGCCAACATGACAAAACCCCATCTCTACTAAAAATACAAAAATTGCCAACCATGGTGGTGCATGCCTGTAGTCCCAGCTATTTTGGGAGGTCGAGGCACAAGAATCACTTGAATCCAGGAGGTGGAGGTTGCAGTGAGCCAAGATCACACCACTGCACTCTAGCCTGGGTGATGGAGCAAAACTCCATCAAAAAAAAAAAAATTTGATTATAAACCTTCTTAGCATTATAGTTTAAGGATGTTACAAAATGTTGAGCCACGTTATTTTAGCACGTTAATGTTACTGATCTCAGGTTTTATGATAATATTGATTTTTAAAAATAAGGCCTTTTCTCTTGGCCATGAATGCTTGCTAAAATATATGAAAGCTAGTCAAAGGAACATTTTTGTAAAAGGATAAAGGATTTGTTTTTAATATAATTTTTCTGGAGAAGAGGTTAATGGTTTTCTTAGAGGCAGGGACATGGAGGTTTATCCCAGTTTGTTTGCCCCTAAATTGAGCTTTTTAAGACAAAGGGACCACATGGGATAGATGAGCCCAGGCTAGTCTGTTGAATCAGGGCTGTCTAACTTCTCTGGATGTTGTACCCCTTGGCAGGCCTGTCCTCTCTGGAACAGAGTTCTCTTCCCTGCTTTCCTCGACCCCAAGCCTTTTTGGGCTTGAAACCTTCTGGATCATAGCAGTTACTCTGCACTTGCCTTTCTGGGAAGCTGGCCATTGACTAGGACTGGGAGTTTGATGCAGAAGAAGGGAGGGCAGTGAGGGGCGACATGTTATCATTCAGGACAGGAATTGCATGTCCCAAGGTTACTGGAGTGGAACTGATGTGACTTAAGAAAGAGGGTGGGTCTGGGAAAATGCCTAGAAAGCAGGAATGAGGTTCCCTCTGAGGTCCACTGTGGCCTCAGCACCCCCAGGGGAATGTACTACAGTGAGTACTCCAAATTCTGGCCAATTCCTTGAATTTTGGGGAGGGACTGTGTTATGTATGTAGATGTCTCACCAAACCTTGTTCTTGTTCTCAACACTGAAAATAGCATCAGTGTTTGATGTGAAGCCTGTGGTAGGTTTATTACGTTTTTCATTATTGAAGCCAATGAACTCAGGTTATCATAATGATAGAGAATAATGAAGTAGCCTTTTTCTACTAGGCACTGATTTTCTAGGACCTTAACTATGAGAACAATAACTTCCTTCATCTTCTAGAAATGAAAAGTAATTAATGGGATTCAATGTTTACATACACATCTACGGTTATGTATGTGTCCACCTAACTAGGTCTCCTTTTCCTGAAGTGCACAATCGTATCTCCTTTCAAATGTTTCAAAGGTTTTAGTGCATAATTCAGCCATCTAAAGTGTACAATTCAATGATTTTTAATGTATTCATAGAGCTGTGCAGCTATCATCACAGTCAATTTTGGAATAATTTCATCACCTCCAGAAGGAATATCATACTCTTTAGCTATCATCTTCCATCTCTTCTTCCCCCCACCCC